CCAATTCAGATCAAGTCCATAAGTTTGATATTAGCCCAAAAGTCCAATATTAGCCCATGAACTCCCCTTCAGACTCACACAGCACATGCAATGATGCCAAATCCTGGAAGATCCCAGGGTGGAAAGTCCTGTGGGTCCAGTGGTGGTGGAAGTATCTCCAGGGCTCTGGCTGCCATCAGCATAGCTCCATGTGGCTTGTCAACAGGAATGTGTAGCAGAGAGAGAGTGTGTCCCACCTCCAGGGCAGAAGAGAGAAAGTCCCAGAATCTTCATGAGAAGATCACACCCACAAGGAGGGATCACCAGACTGTGACCTGATTGACAGGCCAGACTCCACCCCTTTATTCTTATTTATCAAGTTGACATGGGATTGTGTAACTACCACAGAGGGCTTTCTTTAAGTTGGCATTGAAAGGACCCACATGGCAACCTTCCTTCACCTATTCTTGGATTGAATCTCTTATACTTCCCCCTAGCGCTTCTGAAGAGCATTACTACCTGGACCCAAGGGAAGCCACTGTCCTTCATTGGACCACAAGCCAGAAAGGATCCTGGCTCCCAAGTGACTAGACATTATCTGATTCAGCCCCCTTATATAACTGACTAAAAACAGCAATAAGGTGGAGAATGAAACAATTATGAATTATGGAAAGGTTAGGAAGAACCCTCTGTGGCTATATTTGAATTAGAAATTTCACAATGCATTCTAAATATATAGCTGAGTCTGGTGAAGGGGCCTACATCAACACCCAGTAGCAATATCCATACTTAGTACCCAGATCTTGGTTTCTAAATACCATTTCCACTAAAGGGAACCAGGCTAATTCCAGGACTGGAACATGGAAACACAAGAGGAGACTACATATTGTTTTATCAAGAATTCAGAAAGTACCAAGAACTGATAGAGATATGTTCAAGGAAGATAGAGACCTGCTTGATGGTACACCTACTGACCAAGGAGGGTACCACTTGAGAATTAAAAGAAATAATAATTATAATGAATTATACCACTTTGAATAAGCAATCTATCGAGCCCATTGTAATACTAAAAAGTAAAGTAAAAGATACTTAAAGTAAAGATATTCCTGTAGAGAAAAATTCCAGACAGTAGAAGGAATGATCGTGTTAGACAACGCATCACTTTGCAACCACCAGAGCCCTGGTGGCACCGAGTGAGGTGTTGGGCTGCTGACTGCAAGGTCAACAATTTGAAACCACCAGCCACTCTGTGCGAGGGAAACAGCCCCTAACACATCATCATGGGTCTGGTAGGTACAATTGTACGTCGATAATAAGTAAAGATTATAGGAAAGTCATAGAGAGCATGAGAGATAGAAGAGAGATTGAAATAATGGAGTCAGACACATTTCATGGTAGCATGTTCACCTCAGCCTCACTTGGTGGTCCACGTGGAGAGAGATTTATTGCTAACCAAGGCTTATAAATTCTCTGAGGATGTGCAAGCCCCCTAATTACAGGTGAAGACATACGTCACAGGAAAGGGCTGTGCTATAGGTAATACACTAATTGGAGGGAGGTGATCTGGGGGAACATACACTATTGGAAGAGAAGGGAATAAGGGTATACGTGTGACAAGATGGGCGGACTCTAGATTCAGGATGGCAGCCTAACTTTGGATGTCACTGAGCAGGTTTGACCTGTTCTCTGGATCTCCATAGAACCATTATCAGTAGGGTGTAAACCTCATCTACAAGGACCAGACTGATGGCAGCAAGCCTTTAGGGAGAAGTAGCCCATTGTCCTTAACAGCAGGAAGTGGGCCCTACTTGTGGTGGGACAGACAGTAGTTTGGCAACTGACTGCCTTCAGGGAGGTAACTTGACGATCATTTACCATTAGCTGCAAGCAGTGTCCTAAGTCACACATATGTTTGGGGGAGACAACTTGGGAGAAATCTTTCTGTTTCCCACAACTCTGCAAGAGAAAGGTGAGACTTTCAATTCCTGTAAAAGTTGCAGTCTCATAAATCCACAGGGGCACTTCTACCCTGTCCTGCACGGTTGCTATGAGTAGGAACTGGCTCAATGGCAGTGAGTTTTGGTTGCAACTACCACTGTACAGATTGATTTAGGCCAGGAAGAGCAATGATGGATACTAAAATCATGGAATGAAACAATGTTGGAAAATGAGCTTATCACAAGGTCTGAGGATATTGAACATGGATTGCTGATTAATAATAAATAGTAAAATGTCCCTTCACAAAGGAGGTCTCTGACAGACATCACCTTAACCAAGTGGTCAACGTCACTGCTACCATTAACAGAACAACCTGTTGTGCCTCTGGATAGAATGCAATCCGAAAGACTCGACCTTAGCTTTATGAGATTTTTGTCAAAAGAGCTCAACTTGAGAAACTTGCATCTGAACCTTGGGAAACAATTGCATAAATTCAAATTGCACATTATTCAGCAGTACACCTTGACTGACTTTTAAAATGGCAATGTCAAAAAAGATATTTAAAGACAGGAGGACTCTTCTAGATAAAGAAAGGGCAGAGGCATGACAAAAGAATGCCATGTATAGTTCTTGAGTGGATCCTGCACCAGGTAACAAAATAGTGACGAAATACATTTCTGGGGACTCTGGAAATATTTGAACATGGAGTGTGGGTTTGACAGTATTATACCCGTGTTACATTTCCTGAAAATGGTAATTACATGATTGTTCTGTAAAAAAAAAAAAATTCTTGTTCCTCAGAGATACATGCTGAAGTATTTAGAAATGAAGTATCATGATGTCTATTAATGTATTTGCAAATGATTTATCAGAAAGTTTTTTTTTTAATGTGTTTACATGTTATGTGTAGAGAAAGAAAATGTAGTAGCCTGTTAACAGTTTGTGGAACTCGATGAATGGTATATGGATACTTATGCACTAGTTAATTTTTTCTGTCATTTGGAAATTTTTAAAATACAAAATTGTGGGAGTACACCAGTAAAAACAATAAAATAGCCCCAGAGTTGTTTTTAAAAACTAGCTGAGACTTTATTTTACTGATTCCAAATCTGGTATGCCTGTCCCTCTTCCCCAGACCAGTGAAGAAATAGTCATGGACATGCCACACAGGCAAAAAGGGAAAGACAGTCTTGCACCCCCTAGGCTCAAATACCAGGACTTTGAGAAGAGTATAAGCCAACCAGCCTTTCCGAAGGTGGCAGCAGCATCCCTAAGGAAGTGAGGACAAGATGCACATCTCCACCTAGTGGCCAGATCAGGAAGTCCATCCAACGCTGCCAACTTCGAGGGCAAAATTATTCCACTGTTGGCTGTAGGTGTCTTCCCACAGTCTCTGATGAGTTGCTACATGTTCCCATGGGCGAGGCACTCATTTTGTTTAAATATATGCTCCTTAAATTTTCTTATATGAATTTTCCAAGTTGCTTTAGAAAAACAAACCAAAAAACTGATTTCCTGCCCTGGAATCCTAATTGAGCCAAATATTCCTTGATCATCAAGAAGAAAGGAAAATGCCCCACTGGTGTAGATTTAACCAGATAATTTTTGCTGCTCCCCACCACCCAATTGTTGGCTGTGCTCCCAGTACCACGGTGGGGCCTCAGGGGAACAGCCATAATAGGAGTCAGAAAACCGAGACAGGGTTCCGAGTCCTCCAAGCTTCGGCAGCCTCCTCTGCACCAGTCTGAACTGCTGAGATGTTAACGGGCTCCTATGTCAGGCATGACGCTCAGGCTCCATGTTCCCTCTGCAGTCTGGACGAGGAAGTGTGAAGCCCTACCGAGATGACCTGAAAGGCACCGGTGCACTGGAACCTCTTGGGACTCCAACTGGGAGGAACAGAAAGACGAACATGAGAATAAATTGTCGCCCCGTTCCTGTCCTAGTTTAGCCTACCTCAGTGTGCTTTTCCTTCTTCTCTAACCCCAGGCGCTTCGTGTGAAGTGGTCCCACCTCAAGTTGCCCTGGGTGGACCTCGACTGGCTGATAGACATCTCCTGCCAGATCACAGAGCTGAACCTTTCTGCCAACTGCCTAGCCTCCCTGCCCTCGGTCATCCCCTGGGGACTCATCAATCTCCGGAAGCTGAACCTGGCAGACAACCACCTGGGGGAGCTGCCTCGCGTGCAGTCCTCAGATGAGATCATCTGCTCAAGGTGTGTGGCGCATGATCCTGTGCTTCCCAGTGCCACTTTGTGGTTTGGGAAACAAATATCTCACCAATAGTTAAGGAGTGAGTAGTCCTGGTGGCATTGCTGGGTGAGCATTTGACATCTAACTGCTGGGTTGGCAGTTCAAACCCAGCAGCCATTTCCTTGGGAGAGAGATGATGCTTATCTGCCCCTATAAAAAATCTTACAACCTCAGAAACCCTATAGAGTGTTGCTAAGATTTGGAATCTACTTAATGGTGGTGATTATAATTACAAAAAAATAAAAACTCTGCTGGCCTGTGCACCAGCTCTTAGGAAACAGCTTCTTGCCACTTTTTCAAATGATCACAGAGAAATCTGGGAAGATGTTAGTCAGGCCCCTGGTTTGTGCTGCTTCCTTGCAGCCAAGTGGACTAGCCTTGCCCGAGATGCCATGTCTGGGTCTGCACACAGAAATCAGAGAAGACCTGGAAGCGGCCTGGACCAGGGATCAAGGGCCTGAAGACATCTTCTTGTATTCCACCTCCAAGGAAAAGGGACAAGATGGGAAAGAAAAAGGGATAGTTCTGCTGGAACAGACAATGAGGGCGTCTCCGGCCTTTTCCCAGGAAACCTTGGAAAGTAACTCAAGGTTGTATGGGAGAAGGAGCGACCCTTTCCAAGGGCAGGTAAAGAGCTTTATATTTAGTGACAGCATCGACTCTATTACAAATTAATGAGGCATCGGAAGCTTGATTGCAGAGTGTGTCTGCCCACAGATTTGCCATCATCCTTTTTTATTTTTTTAAAAGGCTACACGTAATGTTAAGCAAGGAAATCTCTGAGGTCATCAAGCCGGCCAGACCGATTTCAAGGAGTCCCTTTAAAGACTTCCTTTCAGGCTCCACAGCCCTGGCTGGACCTCCTAGTCTAGCATTCTCAGAATCCGTCATCTAGAGAGTTCTCTTGTCACCAGCCGTCTTGTTTTTGAGTTCCTGGTTTCCTAGTATTTTCCCAAGACTCATTGTAGCTCCTTAGAATGACTGTGAAAAGAGCCAAGCACACTGCACGGGTAAACAGGAAACGCGCTGCCTCTTCAGAACTGTGGGCTCCTACCCTGTGGTATTTAGCTTTGCAAAGGAAAGATAAGAAGGTGAATAACTACAGTAATAATATACTTCTGAAAATTTGACCCTATACAACTAGTTCAGTGAACAAGGTTCAACAAACATTTCCAGCATGCTTGATTTAAGAAACAATGTTCTTCCTGCTGATATATATATACACACACACACATACATATATATGTAATATATATTGTAATGTAATTACATTGTTATATATGTAATGTACACATATATATACGTACATATACATATATATGTAATAAGTGCATACAGAGCCTCATTCCATGAAGGCTTTGAGCTGATTTCAAAAGGTTAGATTCTAAGTGAAGAAAGAGAGGGCAGTATTGGAAAGAGCTGGGGCCAGTAATGACCCATGAACCCCACAAGCAAAAAATGAGAAATTGCTTACTAGAAACTCTGCATATCAGTCACCATCCACACATGAATCTTTTAACAGCTGCGTGGGTGAGCTCCCAGGTTCTGACAGGTTAACAGCTCGTAAGACACCCACTGTTTGTGCTGTCATGGATACTGCCATCAAGTGAGCTCTGTGACCCCATGTGTGTCACAGCAGAACTGTGCCCCATAAAATTTTCAATGGCTGATTTAAAAACATAATTTTATTGACACGGATAAGTCAGATATTGTACACTTCAGTGGTTCGGTTATATCAGACAGAGCCGTTTAATCATCACCCGATCGGTTCCAGAACACTTTCTTCCTTCTCGTACACTTTGTGACTAGCCCCCCATTTCCCTCCAGCTGCTCCTCCCATGCCCCAATAATCCATTAATTCAGTAGCTATCTCTATAGATTTATCTATCCTGGATTTCATATACTGGAAAACAAAAAAGCAAATTAATAAATAGTTTAATTTAATAAACCAAAGAAAAACCTCCATCAAAAAGAAAGTAGGAAATATTAAAAGCCAGAAGATATTTAAAGTGGGTCCAAAGAGAGATTGAATAAAGTGTTATTTTCACCTGACTGGTTCTGCAACAATCCACTTTCTGTTGCGTTCTACACAATCAATGGCTGACGTTTTAGAAGTACATCACCAAGCCTTTCTTCCAAGATGCCTCTAGGCCGATTCAAACCCCCAACTTTTCAGTTAGCAATTGGTACCAGGGATGCCACCACATGCATAAGAAAGTTCGTATTCTCTGTTGGCCAGCAACAAGCCATCCAGCAAAGAGATAATAGCTATTGCTTCAGACTTCCTGCATTTTATTTTTTTATCTACACAGCACCTGGTAACAGTTAACCAAAAGAATAAAAAACAAATGCTACATGTTCATTGCATGCTAGTTAGCCTTGTGCCTGGAAGTAAAGAAGAACCCCTCCTTGTTTATAGAGAAGATTTTAAAAGTTATGCTATTCTTCTTTATACTGATTACCTGCCTCTGTTTTTCCCAACCGCAGGCTCCTGGAAATTGACATTTCTGGTAATAAGTTGCCACATCTGCCAATTGGATTTTTGTACCTCTCCAAACTTCAGAAACTGATTGCTTCGAAAAATTATTTAGAAAAACTATTTGAGGAAGAAAATGGTATGTTTTATCAACTGTAATCTAGATTAATTTTTCATTTTCCTCTTGATAGGAATTTGTTTTTTTTTACCATGTTATCCTTTTCCCCCCAGTCACTAACTGGATTGGTTTACGGAAACTACAAGAACTTGATATCGCTGACAATAAATTGACAGAACTCCCTGTGCTTTTCCTTCATTCCTTCAAGTCACTCGCTTGCCTGAATGTCTCCAAAAACAACCTGAAGGCATTTCCAGATCCTTGGGCCTGCCCACTGGTTGGTACCATTCCCAACATCGTGATACCGCAGTCCCCCTCTGCATGTCAAAGTGGTCAGCCTCGCGGGCCCATTTCATAGCAGCATCTAGTCTGTCTTAGATAAAAAAACAAAACAAAAGTGGGAACCAAAGCTTAGCCAAGTGGGCACTTCAAAGGAACCATCACACCAGCCCTGTGAGGTAGCAGGATTGTTTCAAGGTGTGGGTATGCAGTTATCCATGAGCACCTAGTGAAGCTAAGTATCCGAGGCATGTAATCCAGTTAAAAGCCTGCTACTGGCCCCTAAATCTTACACATGGAGCTCCCATAGAACTTTCTACATGGATTGCATCACTGATACAGAATTAGTTCTGTCCAAAAGAGGCAGGCTCCGCTCTTTGAGAACAGCTACAACAATGGTCTCCAATATTAAGAGCAATTGTGAGGATGGCCCAGGATCCGGCCATGGTTTGTTCAAAGACTCAGATCTGACTCGATGGCACCAAGCAGCACCGTGTAGATCCTTTCTTCTGAGGCCCCTTAGAGTGGACTTGAAATTCTGGGTTAATTATTTATGGAACCCGAACGCTGAAGGATGCTCGTTACAGAATCTATTTTTAATGGCTTTTGGGGGTTGTTTTTTTCGCTTTGTTTTGTTTTACATCAAATCTGAAAACAACCATCTAGGCACCACTACCTGTAAAGAATTCATTAACACCTCATTCTCTTTCTTATCAAACTCCTAGAAATGTTGTAAAGCATCCAAAAATGCCCTGGAGTCTCTGCCAGACAAAATGGCTGTTTTTTGGAAAAATCATCTCAAGGATGTGGATTTTTCAGAAAATGCACTAAAAGAAGTTCCCTTGGGACTCTTCCAGCTTGATGTAAGTCTACTAGCACGGTACTTCTGATTGTCAGCCTGCATGAGTAACTCACTCCATACTGAACTCCACCTACAGCTGAAACACATGAGAGAGGGCAACCAGGTGACGCAATATGAAAGGGCAGACCACAGTCGCAAACCCGTGCAGGTCATGCATGCACAAGGTGCTGAGCAGAAGGGAACAGGCAGAGTGGAAACAGCTATGTCGGGGTGGAGAGATTATGGACTGGAACCCCAGGCCTTCCTGGGATGGGGAAAAGTGCTCCTCTGTTCTGCCTGCTCCTTCTGGGTCTCTTCCAGGCCCAGAGGGGGCCTGGCCTGAGGGTGCATGAGGCTGAGAGGGTCCTGTAGTGTGGGGCCCTGGATGTACACCCACCCCCCACAAACTTCCAATGTCCCATGTGGGGTAGGAAGTAGCATGTCCTTCCCACACATGTTCCCCTTGCAGTTTGCCTGTCCCATGTTGTCCAAGTCGCTTTGCCTTGATGCCGCCTCCTTTTTTTAGTTTGTATGTCACACAAAAATTTAATCTGTCTCCATTGTACTTTCCCTCCTTTTGTAAGCACTCAAACTGGTGTTGAGGCATCAGATGGGTCGGAAATCTGGAGGTTTTTTAACACTCTTCCCGTGTTTCCCTCTTCTAAAACAGTTTTACTTTTATTCATTTTCCCCCTTTTATTTGTAGAGCATAACATATACAAAGAAAACCATACTATATGTCTTTACATAGCCCGTTTCATCAAACTGGTGACAGTATCCAATTAAACCCCAATATAGGTGGTTCTATTTTCTTCTTCATTGTCTTTTCTTTTCTTTTCCTACTCACCCTCCCTTCTAATCCCCTGCCCCTTGCCACACACCCCCTCACACAAACACACACACATTCAGACCCTGCGTCATCATAATCGCTAAAGTCCTTTCCTTTGGCTGGAAATCCATTTTTCTTTTTCTTTCTTCCTTTAAAACTATAGTGTCATAAAATATTTTTATGAGATTGACTAACATTGCTGACCATAATGTCCTTTTGTCTGCATTGTGAAGTGTTGGACAGACTTGTCGTTGTTTTTTAAGGGTGCATAATATTCCATCATGTGTATGTTCCACAACTTGCTTGTCCGTTCCTCTACAGACAAAGATGGTTTTGATCGTCTCCATCTTTTTGCTATTGCAGAAATCACTGCAAGAAACAGGGATGGGCATATGTCAGTTTGTGTGTTGTTCTTTATTTCTTTATGGTATGTACCAAGTAGAGAGATTACAGGAGAATAAGGTATTTGTATTTGCAGTAAGGAAGTGCCATACTGTTTTCCTTAGTGTTGTCCAATTCTGCAAACCCACTAGCAATGTATGAGTATCCCAACCTCTCCACATCCTCTCCAGCACTTATTTTCTGTTTTTTAAAATTTTGTTCAAAGTGTCCGTGTGAAGTAATATTTCATTGTGTTTAAATTTGGATTTCTCTTGTGGCTAATGAACACGAGCATTTCTTCATATGGTTGTTGGCCTCCTGGAAGCCCTCTTTAGTAAGTTTCCTATTCATGTCTTGTCCCATTTTTTGATTGGGTTATTTGTATTTTTCTTATTAAGATGTTATAGTTTTATATAGATTTAAAATTTTTCATCAGATGCATCATGTATATCTCATTGCTCAATATTTTTTCTCAATCTGAGTTTCTTTTCAATCTTTTGATGAAGTATTTTGATGGGACAAATATATATTGTATTTTCAGGAGGCCCCAGCGCTCTATTTTGTCTTCTCTACGGTGGGCAATGTTTATTATGCAGAGCAGAGCCCATCAGTTTGCCCCTTTTTTTAATTGAAGGGATTTGTGGTTCTAAGCTTATATTTAGGTCTTTAATCCCCCTTGAGTTCGCTTTATATATGGTATGAGGCAGGGGTACTGTTTCATTCTTCTGCAGTTGGAGATCCAGTTTTCCATCACTATTTATTGAAAAGGCTATCTTTTCCCCCACATACTGTGCATAGAATCTATGGCCTTTTGGAGGTCCTTTGAGGTGATTCCACCTCTAGAATGCCAGCGTGCAGTTGGTAGAGGTTTTCTGTTTCTTAGAAGAGGGCCAGAACTCAGGTTCTTGAGTCTCCTTTTATTTTCAAAAGTTTTGTTTGGAGAGAGTTTCCCAGAGCTTCAGACTGTGGCTATTTGGAATCAAACTCCCCGCTTGAGAAGGTGCTTGTTGAAGAGGAATAGGTGCCTGTAAAGAATCACTGAGGATGGAAGCAGCACTGTCCTTGGTAATGAGCACATGGGCTGATCAGGGGTGGACATCGGGCCTCACCACTCTGATTGGGCAGTGACCTATGTGTCCACACCAGGACCCTGTTGGGAACTACCGTGGTGCCTTAGCAAGCACTTGTCAGGGCCCTGGGCTGGCCCTCATTTCCTAATGGTGGGTACTCCCGATGTCCCACCATTAGGATTCTCATTCAAGTCAGGAAATGAAAGCCAGCCTGCAAACCACCTAAGTGATGAAGCAGTCCCAACTGGGAGGGCTCACAGTTCCTCCCAAAGGCTTCTTGTTTAGTGGGAAACAAGAAGCCTGACCTTCACCAAACAAAGAAGTGCCGTAAGTCACATCAACCCCTCTGAGGCTCTAAGGCCTGCGCTTGAGGGAGAACCCCTCCAGCGTCTCTATCCTGAGTCTGTGCATGCTCATCTCACATCCACACCTGGCAGATGCGGTGTCCTTACAGCCTGACAGCACTGAAGCAGCAAACCATGAGAAGACCCCTTGACCTCACTACTTTACTCTGTGGGCATCAGATCTTGGCTGGTGGTCTCTTCCTCCCAAAAGGGATAGGGGAAATGACCTGGCACACAACAGGGCCTCTATAGAGGTGTGCTGACAGGCGGTGCCACCACAGGTATTCACTCAGGGGCTGATGCTCATGGCAAGGGGTGGACGTCAACCCCCTTTAATTAGAAAGGTAACAGAGGCCACCTGGGGTTCATATGGTTAATACACAGCCTGACAGCCCTTCTGAGGCTGCCTCAGTGGTCATGGCAATGCTGAAGTTATTAAGAAGGAGTTTCCATATGCTTTGTGTCCTCTCTTTAATCACGCATGATGGAAGTCCAAGGGCGCAGCCTTGGCAACACCAACTGTCCCCAGGACCTCCACGTACCCATAGCTCCAGATCACGGAGTGCAGTCAAAGGACCAGGCCACAGCTGTGTATCACATGACTGAGAAGTGCCTGCACCGTTCCTCTTGGCTCCCAGTGACACCCCCCTATCCCTCCTGCCCAGCTCAGGAGCCCTGCAGTGCCCGAGTTGGCCAGCAGAGGGAGAGACAATGTTAATCACCTTGGACTGTCCTGAGTGAGCTCCCGGGTGGTGGTATTATATCCCCAGAGACCCTCACTGGTCCATAAGTGATCATCGTGCTTAAGAATCCTTAAAACTGAGAAGCACTTGGACTCTTTACTAGAACAATGGCCCCTTCTTGATTTTGAGGGGGAAATTAACATCTGCTCTGAATTAGAATCAAGTGACAGGTAGTTGGAGATAGATCATGTGTTATGCCTGGTTTGTTTTATATAACGTTGTGAGGAGTCAGGAAACTATTGGCCCCCATACTGTTGGAGTCTGAGTAACAGTCGGTTCTGATGGTGTGGCCGCACGGTGTCAGCGCGGTGGGTTGCTCTGCAGTTGCCCTCAAGGGCGTTCGTGACTCTCTCCCTCAGGCTCTGATGTTCTTGAGGCTACAGGGAAACCAGCTGAGAACACTACCACCTCAGGACAAGTGGACCTGCAAGCAACTCAAAACCCTAGATCTCTCCAGAAACCAACTCGGAAAGTAAGTTTATAGCAGCACACCTTAAAACAGTGCTTCTCGACCTTCCTGATGCCGCGATCCTTGAATATAGTTCCTCATGTTGTGGTGACTCCCCCCCAACCATAAAATTATTTTCGTTGCTATTTCATCATTGTCATTTTGCTACTGTTATGAATCATAATGTATATATTTGATATGCAGGATGTATTTTCATTGTTATAGATTAAACATAGTTAAAGCATAGTGATTAATCACAAAGACAATATGTAATTATATATTGTGAAATATTTATTTCTAATTAAAAAGAAATGAAATTTTGTCTTGAAGCATGGTGTAGTATGGGTAACAGTCTTCACACCAGGTACTTGTATGTGGGTGTCTCTGCATGTGGGCGGACCCGCCTGGAGACGGATAGAGGAGCGGTGCCTCAGTTCCTAAGACCATCGGAAATATGTGTTTTCCGATGTTCTTAGGCGACCCCTGTGCAAGGGTCGTTCAACTCCCAAACGGGTCACGACCCACAGGTTGAGAACCACTGCCTTAAAAGATGTGTGTGACCAAGTTGTACAGACCCTGAAGATGGGGTTCATCTTCTATTCATTTTTTATTTATTATCAAATCATTCTATTGGGGGCTCTTATAACTATTACAGCATTCCATACATCTACTGTATCAAGCATATTTGTACATATGTTGCCATCATCGTTTTCTATGCATTTACATTCTATTTGAGCCCTTGGTATTAGCTCCTCTTTTCTCTCTCTCCCCCACCTCCTTGATAAATGATAAATTATTATTGTTTTCATATCTTACACCGACCACTGTCTCCCTTTACCCCTGGGTTGGGGGAGATCATGCATCCATCATTGCGATCAGTTGCCCCTTCCTCCCCTCCTCCTCCTTACCTTCCTGGTATGGCTACTGCCATTTCTGTTCCTGAGGGGTTTATCTGACCTGGATTCCTGTGTTGTGAGCTCTTATCTGTACCAGTGTACATGCTCTGGTCTAGCCAGAACTGAAAGGCAGGACTGGGGTCTGTATAGTGGGGGTGAAGAAGCCTCAAAGAACTAGAGGAATATTGTGTGTTTCATCAGCGCTTCACTGCGCCCTGGTTGACTCGTCCCTTCCTTGTGACCCTTTTGTGAGTGGGTGTCCTACTGTCTACAGGTGGGTTTTTGGTCTCTGCTAGGACCCCCCTCATTCTCCACAATGTTTGTTTGGGGTCTTCTGGTGCCTATTACCCGATCCCATCAACTCTTCTCATTTTTAAAGACTCCCACACATTCCCATTTTTAACTTCTGCCTAAATGATGGTTCTACCTAGATGAGATATAAAAGTGGGGATGTACCCTCTTGGCCCTCTGGCCCCTGGAGACCAGCCTCCCTGAGTCATTGGCTAGAGGTTTCTCAGTGGAAATTCTATCCCAGAGAAAACTTGTTTCAGTGAGCAGTGAACAGTGACAGCCATTGAAATAGGCATTCTGCCCGCCATAGAAGAGCTCACACCTGCCTGAGGGAGAAGAGCTCAAGAATGGGAACCACTGATGGTGCCAAGGTGGGCGCCAAGAGGGTAATCAGCAGGCTGCCTACACTTCTGCCTAAGCTGTTGGAGGTTCCAACATCCAGATAGCAGAATTTCCTCCCTTTTGCAGCATCATGGAACCTCACCCCCCAAAAGTTATGTCTGTGTGCTTTCCTCAATGTTTTACTTTAAATTTTTTTCCCCTACAGAAATGAAAATGGAGTTAAAACAAAGCATATTTCGTTTTTCACCACCAGAGGCCGTCAGCGTTCAGGCACCGAGACCGGTATGTTGGTGCTGGGAAAGAAGAGATAGTTGGGTCTGGCTTCTTTTGTAGGTCCCTCCCCAAACCCCTCCCCCAAAGGGGAAACACTCTATCACTGTGCTGTCCCCTTCTTTTCCCTATTCAAATGCCAGCGTTGCCCATATTTGACTGAGAACCACACATGAGCTCATGACACACTTGTGGCATACAGATAAGTCCAGTCTGCAGTTTGGAGTCCAATGATTCTACGAGCTACCACGTCCAGAGAAACGACTGGGCGCAGAGTGCTGCCTAAGATAGGAGCGGGCTGCAGAGAGGGGGAGTACGGAAGTCTGTCCTATAAGACTTGTGATGGGAACCTTTATCCCATAAACCTTATACACCTGATCTTGCCCCTTCAGATTTCAGCTTCTTGAGAAAGAACATGGTTTAAGTTCTTTGAGGATATCAAGTCTGCCATGTTGACATCGTGTAAGTTGTAAAACACAGAATTCTTCAGGGAAGAGTTAGCTACTGCCATTTAAAAAGTGTACATACCATTTCGATTTTTTTAAATAGAAATTTTTGTGACTTCATAGTAATACTACTTTACTTACCCTCATATGTAAATATCAGTTATCTATGTGTATATATGCTAACATGTCACAAGCACATTAATATATTATCAATGAAACAGAAAAAGGAGATTAAATATAAACTAAGTATATCTAGGAATTTAATGTGTGTGGGATATTGGTGGTTGAGGGGTTGAATTTTCTCCTTCCATGTGAAAGACCTAGGCCTGATTTGTTGCCAGTCCCCTGTATGCACAGTGAGGATTGCAATTTACTGTGTAGCTGTGCAGGTTTAATTATTTTGTAAATCATTTTATTGGGAACTCTTACAGATATCAAAACAATCCACAATTCAATTAGATCAAGCATAATTGTACAGTTGCTGCCACCATCATTTTCAAAACATTTTCTTTCTTCTTAAACTCTGATATCAGCTCCCCTTTATCCCCTCCCTCCCTCACCCTATGCCCCAGGAACCCTTATGATATTTATTATTATTATTGCCATATCTTACACTATCCAATGTATACGTTCACCTACAATTCTGTTATTTGTTCCCCTTGAGTGCGGTTATACAGTCATCATTGCTATCAATCCCCCCACCCCCTGTACCCTCAGGGAATCATTACTCCCTTTACTTATTTCGGAAGGGTTTATCTATCTTGGATTTCATGCACCAAATGACCTTAATTGTACACAGATCTCATAAGATTCATAAGTTGAAACTAAGACCATAATAGTAAGGGGAGGTTCATCAGTTCTATACTGCACCCTGGAGATATCTTCCCTTCCAGGGGTCCTTCTGTGAGGAACTGTCCAATTACCTTACAGGTGGGTTTTGTGTCTCCCCTTTGTCTACACTCCTTTCCCATCAATCTGATGGCTTGTTTTTAAATTTATGATACCTGTTTCCATCGACACCTCATGATCACACAGGCTGGTGTGCTTCTCCCATGTGGGCTTTGTTGCGTCCCTGCTAGACGGTCCCTTGTTTACTTCAAGCCTTTATGACCCCAAAGGTCCCACCAGCTCCTCCAGCCCTACCTGGCACCACTGCCTGGAGGACTTCCCCCAGCTCAGGCCTCTCCTCCAGGCTGCTATCACCTCTATTTCATAGACTTTGTGAATCTTTGAACTGCTCCACTTTACGAAGATGATCCGTTTGGAATAATCAGATTTATCCCTCTCTTTGCTTCTTTTTAAGGATTGGCCCCCCTCCAAAAAAAAAGAGCTATTTATCATTCTTTTTTATCATTTTATACAGCTCTTTAAAAAAATAATTTTATTGGGGACTTGTACAACTCTTATCACAATCCACACGTACAGCCATTGTGTTAAGCACATGTGTACATACGTTGTCATCATCATTCACAAAACATTTTCTTTCTACTTGAGCCCTTGGTATCAGCTCTTCATTGTTTTCCCTCCCTCGTGAATTCTCGATAATTGATAAATTATTATTATTTTATTTTTCATGTTTTACACTGATCAATGTCTCCCTTCACCCACTTTTCTGTTGTCCACCCCCCTGGGAGGGGATTATATGTAGATCGTTGTGATCAGTTCTCCCTTTCTCCCCCCAACCTTCCCCTTCCCCTCCTGGTATCACTACTCTCAATGTCAGTCCTGAGGGGCTTATCTGTCCTGGATTCCCTGTGTTTCAGCTCTTATCTGTACCCGTGTACGTGCTCTGGTCTAACCAGATTTGAAGGTAGAATTGGGGTCATGATAGTGGAGGGGAGGGGAAGCATTAAAGAACTAGAGGAAAGTTGTATGTTTCATCGGTGCTATACTGCACCCTGACTGGCTCGTCTCTTCCTTGTGACCCTTCTGTAAGGGGTTGTCCAATTGTCTGCAGATGGGTTTTGGGTCTCCACTCCACACTTCCCCTCATTCAAATGATATGATTTTTTGTTCTGGGTCTTTGATGCCTGATACCTGATCCCATCAACACATCATGATCACACAAGCTGGTGTGTTTCTTGCTGTTTATCATTCTTACTGAAAAAAACAGATCCACAGAGAAACTTGTGGTTTCAAAGGAACATGGGGACAGATTTGCAGCTTAGAGTCTTCGGCATGTTTAACTCCTACTTCTTTGACTGGTGAGAGCCTGTGTTTCCAGCCCTGTGGAGAGGGGGAGGGGCACATATCACACACACACACACACACACACACACACACACACACACACACGGAAGCATCAGGGGCCAAGCTCTGCCCCCCCTCCCACCTCCCCCAAGTCAGAAGTCTACAATCAAGATTCCTCAGGGACTTCCTGGCTTTGCTCCCATTGCTGGTCTGTTGATCTGCTGCAATCACTCCCCTCCTGGTTTGCCCCCATGTGGACAGGTCAGACCGGTCACAGTCCCCAAGCTGTGTCTTCAGTGCTATCCGCTGTAGGGCTGTCGTCTAGGGAGGGGACATCATGTCTCCAGCTGAGGCCGGCCCTGCAGTCCTCTGAGATCTAGCTGCTCCAAGCAGGAGCATCGCCCTCAAAGCCTGGTGCACTGGAATGAGGGCTTCTCTCTCTCCCTTTCCTGTGGAGACATAAACAATAGCCTCCCCTTGCGTGGATTAGTGCCCTGCTCCCCCATTGCCTTCTTTTTTCTTCCCCAATCCCTCTGTGAGAGGGACAGGCATATGAGGGGCAGATGGAAGATATGTTTTGCCCAGGTACTATCTGCATCTTTTTTTTATGTTTTTCTTTTCTTTCTTTCTTTGTTTCTTTTTTTTCTTTTGGTCTCATGATGTATGCATCATGATGTTTAACCTGGCTCTTGCCAGGGCATCTGGCCCTCAGCCCGAGAACTGTGCTGTCTGTACATTTTTCCCCCTGCCGGTTCCTCAACAGAGTTTTTAGACTAAGACTAAAAAGAAAAGTCTGGAGAGTTACTTCTGAAAATCGCTCAGTGAAAACACTCTAGATCATTACGGTCCAATCTGCTTCTGATGACAGGAATCGGGAAGTGCTTCATTCCATTGTGCAAGGGCTCACCGTGGGTCAGGGTCAAGTCAGTGGCAACTAGCAACAATACATGTAAGATGAGGCATTTCAATATCGTAGCAAAAGAATGACTTACTGTTTTTAAATAAATAATGTGAGTACAGTGATCTAGCAAACTCTACAAGGGGAAACAAATGTAGACCTTCAACCTTACATCAATTATAGACATTGTCGTTGGGATAACAGGTTGTAATGTCACATTTAAAAATGACATTTTGGAGAATATGTGTACAACTGAGGGAGGCTGGGGCTGAGGAAGACCTTTTTAAGCTAGCCAGGTTCTTACCAGAAAAGATGGAAGCCCTGCGCTTTGTAAAACTTTGGAAGTTTTGTTCAGAAAGAGTCCTCGTAAAGCCACAGTGTAAACAGACTATGAAGAAATATTTGTAGCACAGCTTGTTGCAACACAAATCGGCTGACGTCCCGAAGATACAAATTGGTTTCAAAAGTAAGACACCCCAATTGGAACCAACGGTAACAGATGTAGACAGTTCACAGAAGAGGAAGTTCAGAGAGTGATAAAACTATTGAGGAAATACCACTAGGAATTTCATAAATGATCACGTTTAAAAGGAAGGGCCTTGGGACTTTAGAGATTGAGTCCAGGCATCGGGATCTCACTGAGACGGAAGGAGAAATAAACCTTTTCTTCTTTGTTGGTACCAAAATGGGATGATGTGCATGAACAGGGAAGCTGGTATAGGTGGAGGCCAACCACCCATGGCTGATAAGTTTGGGCCGACTGGAAACATACCCCAGGTTTAGAGACACAGAGCCCTTCCTTCCCAGGACCAGGGAGATTGTGGGGAGGGGTCAGCACTGCTAGGAGAAAGGCTTTTCTCCGCATGAAACCCTATGAACTATGCCATGAAGAGAACATTGGCCTTGGCGGTGGCCCACAGGAGCACGGCTGTGGAGCTAGGCTCAGGGACCACACCTCTTAGAAGGTCCCCTGAAGAGAAGATTGTGACTTTGGCATATGCCTTTGATTTTTTCAATTTAGTCTAGAAAGTTGAAGCTCACATCCAAGCTGAAAACAGGGGCACATTTTGAAGGATTCCCCACTGTAAGGTTATTCTCCCCACGCTGTGGCACTTGAGTAAGAAATTATCTATGAAATGTAGCTTGTTTGCATATGGATAAGTGACATTCCAGGTAAATTTATGTACACTCAAGTAGCCGTGTTTATGTGGTAGGTGTGTCCAAAAATAATTTGGATGGTCTTTTTTACGGTAAAATTCAGATCAATGGTCATAAATAACTTATGAATAAATAATTACAGGTCATAAATACTTCTGTAGCCCAGTTATATTAATCTTTTTCCACCCTAGGCCAAAAGTCTGTGACAGGTGCTGCCTCTGTTTACAGTAGCAGTTCTGTATTCTCCCTGCCCATTACTTAAAGAAGCTTAATAAACACCAAGGCACAATTTTAAAATTGGACAGCACAGAGACCAGGTG